TGGTGCCCGGGTAGTCTGGGCATGTACCGCCCGCATATGGGTGCTGGGTAGACAGACCGGGGAGAGGGTAGCCAGGGATAGAATATAGGGGAAAGGGGCCAAGGGAGAGAAAGATGGTGGTAAAGGAAAGGGGAGACACGAAGGGAAGAAGAGAAAGAGCAAATGGGAGAGGTACAAAGGGAAAGGCAGAGGGATACCTATAATTACCTATAGACAGTTCCGGGGGGCACTGCCCCCTTGCGCACCGCTCCCAAACCAAGCCTTCCGACTGACGGCCTGTTCAGTCAAACAGTTCGACGCAGGCACCATACCTCGATTTATCACGAACTAACTTGTGGAAGCTATGACGTCGCCTCTGGAGGACAACCAGGTATCTGTTGGTAATTCCGCTTATGCGTTAAGATAGGGTGTTGAAGATTCTAGAGTCCTTTACACTTACTGAATTGTCTTTTGGTGTGCTCATTGCGCCCTAGCTTTTCATAAGGTAATTTTTACATAATCTACAAAGCCGCTTTATTTCGAAAAAAATATTTTCAGTTTTGGACATGCCAGCAGAGGTTAATCTCCTGGTTACCTGAAGGTTATTCCGGGGATCAACGCCCCCGCGGCCCAGTCCATGACCAGGCCTCCCGATGGATCAGGGCCTGATCAACTAGGCTGTTACTGCTTCCCGCACGCAGTCCAACGTACGAGCCACAGCCCGGCTGATCCGGCACTGACTTTAGGTATCTGTCCAGCTCTCTCTTGAAGGCAGCCAGGGGTTTATTGGTAATTCCCCTAATGCTTGATGGGAGGCTGTTGAACAGTTTTGGGCCCCGGACACTTATGGTGTTTTCCCTTAGTGTACCAATGGCGCCCCTACTTTTTATTGGGGGCATTTTGCATCGCCTGCCCAGTCTTTTACTTTCGTAGGGAGTGATTTCTGTGTGCAGATTTGGGACCATTCCTTCCAAGATTTTCCAAGTGTAGATTATGATATATCTCTCCCTCCTGCGTTCCAACGAGTACAAGTCAAGTGCTTCCAAGCGTTCCCAATAGTTAAGGTGCTTGACAGAACTTATACGTGCAGTAAAGGATCTCTGTACACTCTCTAGATCTGCGATTTCACCTGCTTTGAATGGAGATGTTAATGTACAGCAGTATTCCAGCCTAGAGAGAACAAGTGATTTGAAAAGGATCATCATGGGCTTGGCATCTCTCGTTTTGAACGTTCTCATTATCCATCCTATCATTTTCTTTGCACTTGTGATCGTGGCACTGTTGTGATCCTTGAAAGTGAGATCCTCAGACATTACTACTCCCAGGTCCCTTACATTATTTTTCCGCTCTATTGTATGGCCGGAGTCAGTAGTATACTCTGTTCTAGTTATTATCTCCTCCAGTTTTCCATAACGGAGTAGTTGGAATTTGTCCTCGTGAAATATTAATTTGGATCATCTGTCTTTAATCTTCACTGTCATCAATGCAATTTCCATCTCAATTTTAAACAAAGGCCCGATGCTGGATGTGATTTTTGGCTTGGATTTTGCATACGAGAAAAAATATAGTTTCTTTTTGTTACTAGTTTTCTTCCCTCTCTCTCCTCGACTCTGCATGATTTATTTTTTAGGTCATTGTTTTCTATTTCTCTAGCTAGTATTTAAGAATATAAGAACATAAGAATGGAGGAACACTGCAGAAGGCCTACTGGCCCATGCGAGATAGGTCCTTATTTTCATTGTTTGGGGAAGTCTGCAACCATTGAGAAGGTCTGTGACTATTCGTCTTCCCTGTAAATGGAACATCTTTCTAACTTGCATCCTCATTTTCTTAATGGTATGAGTTTGGAGTATACTTCTAGTACCATTGAGTTTACCTTCTCGAGGCAATGTGGCAGAGGAAGATGAGAGGGACAGAGAGAGGGAGGTGGCAGAGGGAAGGGGAGAGAAATGAAGGGAGAGACAGGGTGACAGATTGTTAAAGATGAGATACAGAGAGATTAGGAAAGCTTTGAGGAAGGATTGTGAAGGCGAGAGCTGAGAATAGTGGTGAGAGGCATGGGAAAGAGATGAGAGGAAGGGAAATGAAGACAAAGTGTAGAGAGACGCAGAGAAAACAATGAGAAAGATATTTATGAGGTAGACAAGTATACCACTATTTACCGACAGTTAATAATGCTAGTGATAATAGTAATCAACAGCTCTGGGGAAGACACATGAGCATTCATAGTATAGTGAAATCTTAACGAAAATCGAAATTTTAATAACATTTTATGAATAAAACTAAAACATTATTATTATTATTATTATTATTATTATTATTATTATTATTATTATTATTATTATTATAATGTGATAGATTGTTCCACACCTCTCCAGCACACACTCGAACACGAAACCAAATTAACAAATGCCTCACAATTAAAAAAACTCCCAAACAATCAAATATTTACGAAATCAATTGTAATTGTTAAATGTTTTCGTTAAATAATACGCATCATACACTCGTTTGTCCTAGTGTAAACTATACACTGACAGAATAGCCATGTTAAACTGATTGATGTATATATGTGAGTTTGTAAATGAAGTTAAGGGAACACATGACTTTTATGCAGCTCAGTGATTTAATTTGTATGTAAAATTGATCTCTCTCTCTCTCTCTCTCTCTCTCTCTCTCTCTCTCTCTCTCTCTCTCTTCTCTCTCTCTCTCTCTCTCTCTCTCTCTCTCTCTCTCTCTCTCAATACGTGAGAGAATGCATGACAATGTTTTACCTCTGATGGGCTTCGAGAGTTTTTCTACTCTCGCAGCCCGGCCTTGGGCCAGGCTTGTCTGGTGCTTGCCTGGTCAACCAGGCTGTTGCTGCTGCTGGAGAGTTCGCTTAACTACTGCATGCCTTCAGAGCTATCACAATCAAAGTTATATTTAAAATTAAAATAAAAATGGTGAAAAAAATTGAAAGGCTTTCTTTATATTTCGGTTTCATCTTCTAAAGACGGTCTCTAAATCAGATCGAAAGATATTGTTCTTAATGTGTCCTATATTTCCGTTCGTGGAATTTACCCATTATATTTATATCTTAGTTCACTGGATATCTCTGGTTGATTGAGTGATTGGTTGGTTGGTTGACTGGTTGGTTGGTTGGTTGGTTGGTTGGCTAGTTGGTTGTTTCACTGGTTGGTTGACTGGTTGGTTGGTTGGCTGGTTGGTTGGTTGGCTAGTTGGTTGACTGGTTGGTTGGTTGGCTGGTTGGTTGTTGGTTTGACTGGTTGGTTGGTTGGTTTGACTGGTTGGTGGTTGGTTGACTGGTTGGTCGGTTGGTTGACTGGTTGGTCGGTTGGTTGGCTAGGTTGGGTTGGTTGACTTTTGGTTGGTGGTTGGTTGACTGGTTGGTTGGTCGGTTGGTTGGTTGGTTGGCTAGTTGGTTGTTTCACTGGTTGGTTGACTGGTTGGTTGGTTGGTTGTGGTGTGGTTGGTTGGTGGTTGGTTGCTGTTGGTTGTTTACTGGTTGGTTGACTGGTTGGTGGTTGGTTGGCTGGTTGGTTGTTGGTTGGCTAGTTTGGTTGTTTCACTGGTTGGTCGACTGGTTGGTCGGTTGACTGGTTAGTTGGTTGGTTGACTGGTTGGTCGGTTGGTCGACTGGTTGGTTTACTGGTTGGTTGGCTGACTGGTTGGTTGGTTGACTGTAGTTGGTTGGTTGACTGGTTGGTCGGTGATGACTGGTTGGTTACTGGTGGTTGGTTGACTGGTTGGTTGGTTGACTGGTTAGTTGGTTGGTTGACTGGTTGGTTGGTTGGTTTACTGGTTCGTTGGTTTACTGGTTGGTTGGTTTACTGGTTGGTTGGTTGACTGGTTGGTTGGTTTACTGGTTGGTTGGTTGACTGGTTGGTTGATTGGTTGGTTGGTTGACTAGTTGGTTGGTTGACTGGTTGGTTTACTGGTTGGTTGGTTGACTGGTTGATTGGTTGTTGGTTGACTAGTTGGTAGGTTGACTGGTTGGTTTACTGGTTGGTTGGTTGACTGGTTGGTTGATTGGTTGGTTGGTTGACTAGTTGGTAGGTTGACTGGTTGGTTGGTTGACTGGTTGGTTTACTGGTTGGTTGGTTGACTAGTTGGTAGGTTGACTGGTTGGTTTACTGGTTGGTTGGTTGACTGGTTGGTTGATTGGTTGGTTGGTTGACTAGTTGGTAGGTTGACTGGTTGGTTTACTGGTTGGTTGGTTGACTGGTTGGTTGATTGGTTGGTTGGTTGACTAGTTGGTAGGTTGACTGGTTGGTTGGTTGACTGGTTGGTTTACTGGTTGGTTGGTTGACTGGTTGGTTGATGGTTGGTTGGTTGACTAGTTGGTTGGTTGACTGGTTGGTTGGTTGATGGTTGGTTTACTGGTTGGTTGGTTGACTGGTTGGTTGATTGGTTGGTTGGTTGACTAGTTGGTTGGTTGACTGGTTGGTTGATTGGTTGGTTGGTTGACTAGTTGGTAGGTTGACTGGTTGGTTGGTTGACTGGTTGGTTTACTGGTTGGTTGGTTGACTGGTTGGTTGATTGGTTGGTTGGTTGACTAGTTGGTTGGTTGACTGGTTGGTTGGTTGACTGGTTGGTTTACTGGTTGGTTGGTTGACTGGTAGGGTGGTTGACTGGTTGGTTGGTTGACTGGTTGGTTTACTGGTTGGTTGGTTGACTGGTAGGGTGGTTGACTGGTGCTTGGTTGACTGGTTCGTTGGTTGGTTTAAAGCCTAACGATCATACGGGGGTAATTATTAAGGCTTCACGTACGTAACTTTTTACCACCAGAAAAATATTTTAATTGCTAAGGGATTAAATCAAACTCTCAGTACATATACTCTTGAAAAAATATATACTTCTCGATTATATATATATATATTATATATATATATATTATATATATATATTATATATATATATATATATATATATATATTATATATATATATATATATATATAGCTGAGCTGAGTGAAGGGAATATAGTTATCTAAGATATAAATAACAAGAGCGTGCACTTACCAACGTAGTGACGTATTAACTTTCTTGTAAGTATTCACAATACAATTTAAAATTTCCTTTTTTACACCTCAATATTTTCAAAATTTGTTTGTTCATAAGTTCAAGAAAACCATGAGAACGATAAGTGTCTTTATATAGAGAGATTATGCAAATACAGGATTTTTCAAGAAACTATCACTTTTTTTTTTAATATTTCATCTACATTAGTTTGCGTTGCAAGTATACACAGTATTCCCAGCAGCGTCGCGTACCTCCCTCTACGACGGTCCGACCCCAACTGACCTCGTGTTTTGGGCGAGTCTCGGACCCCCTGTAGTGAGGAACCCAGCGATGCCATATACCATTTTTGTTTTCCCTTCCCATCTGTATTATTTCTCTGTGGTGCCTCGTCCTGGTCCTGTCAGTGACTGCTTCTCGGTGCGCCATGAACACTTACGCAGCGGGAAGCTTCGTCTTGAAGACTCAGTAGTGTGAAGAAAGAAGAATGTGTGAGTAGAGACGATGGTGACTTTGGCTCATGGCTTCTGCCATCTAGTCAGCTGTGTTCTTCCACATTTTCCTATAGTTTTCCTCTTCAAAACTGCCTTTTTCCTACTTGTTCTCCTAAAACATACACCAGGGTTAATGCACACTCAGCTGTGCAGGTGTACAAGTTGTATTTGCTGGGAAAACAGTACGGAACATCTAAGTATTGTGAGAAGGAAGTTCCCTCCCCCCTCCTTTCCCTGCCTTACACGGGTGCCAATTTGGCACCGGGGAACTGCACGTCTCGGCTATTCTTGGCTGTCTGGCACTTGAGAGACCAGCAAACTCCCAGAAACGAAATTTCTCATGATTTTTTTGCGTAATCCGCTTGCTAGGAGTGACTTCTGCTATTGTAATGAGTTAAACTGAATTTATAGGACCTGTTAAACTTTGCTGATTGTGTCTAAAAATTACATAAAGGTTAAGGTGACAGTACAGAGGCAGACACAGCTGACAGACAGACGTTAAAGAGGCCACCAACTCGATGATGTTTTTATGGCAAGAAACGAGAGGAAGAGTGAAGAAAGACGGTAATACAGAGATGATTGGTGTGTGTGTGTGTGTACTCACCTATTTGTGATTGCTGGGGTCGATTCATAGCTCCTGGCCCCGCCTCTTTACTGATCGCTACTAGGTCCTCTTTCTCCCTGTTCCATGAGCTTTATCAAACCTTGTCCTAAAACTATGTATGGTTCTTGCCTCCACTACGTCACTTTCTAGGCCATTCCACTTCCTGACAACTCTATGACTGAAGAAATACTTCCAAACGTCCCTTTGACTCATAGGAGTCTTCAACTTGTAATTGTGACCCCTTGTTTCTGTGTCCCATCTCTGGGACATCCTGTCTTTGTCCACTTTGTCAATTCCTCGCAGTATTTTATATGTCGTTGTCATGTCTCCCCTGACCCTTCTGCCCTCCAGTGTCATGTGTGTGTGTGTGTGTGTGTGTGTGTGTATGTGTGTGTGTGTGTGTGTGTGTGTGTGTGTGTGTGTATGTGTGTGTATGTGTGTGTGTGCACCCAGAATCCGGCAATCCTGGAATTGTAATAATGTTGACAGAATTATCGACAATATGTTAGGTCTTTTAAAAGGACACGGCTTGACAAAGCTCCTGGGGAGCGAAACGTTGCCACAATAAAATGTCGCGTTAGTTACACTTGTCCCTAACAATCCTGGACCAACCAAGCCTCACTAACAACTGTTCTGCGTCATATGGACCCCCAGCCATTACTTCTGCATTTTATTAAAGTTAGTGATAGCCACGACTGAATTTAATCTTTATTAATTCCAATTTGTTGTGTGTGGGATGGACCATCCTGAGAGATCGCAAGTTGGTGGCACATTCACCTCGCCGGAGGTCCATGGTTCGAACCCCGACACGGGTGGAAAAGCTGGGCACGTGTCCTTACACCTGCTGTCACTGTTCACCCAGCAGTAAGTAGGTACCTGGGCGTTAGTCCACTGTTATGGGTGGCATCCCAGGGGGATGGTATTAAGTTTAGGCACAAGTACACATAAATACAATTACAAATTATCGTACCTATTAACATATGTATTAATTACGTATGTATTAAATAAGCTTAGAAGATACGAGCAGCTCCTGCCTAAAATTAATCTGCATAAACAGAATAATAAATGCTAGTGCAGTCCTGCTGGAATGACAGGTCACGCTCCTGTAGCTACTGAACCCATAGTGGAATGACAGGACATCCTCCTAGCTGAACCTAGTGCTCCTAATTACCGTATTGTACAGCTTGTTTACTCTGTCAAGCTTACCTCAGCTTTACTCTCTTCCTTTCTCTTATGACGTCCTATGACATCCCTTATCCATTTCAGTTCAACCTGCTCCTTCCATTCACCTTCTACCTCCACTTCTACTGTCTCGTAAACATTCCACCCTTTATCATTCTATTAATTTATAACACTTATTTCCCCTGCCCATTCCTTATTTCCCCTGCCCATTCCTTATTTCCTCTGCCCATTCCTTATTTCCCCTTCCCATTCCTTATTCCTCTTGCCCATTCATTATTTCTTTGCCTCATCGTCACTTCCTTCGTTCCCCGCCGCTGATCTCCGGACCATCACCCTCCCCCACCAGCCACCCTGATGACCCCCCTCTCCTGCACCGCCCATCGCCGCCCACCCGGCGCGGATCGGGTATCGCATTGTATGACAGGACAGTCACTCCCACCGCTAACACCACCACTATCACCACCACTATCGCAAACACCACCATTATCACCAACAGCACTAACAGCACCACTATCATCACCACCACCACGAAAACCAACACGGTCACCAACACCACGAACACCACCATCATCAACCACCACCACCATCATCAACCACCACCACCATCAACCACCATCAACCACCACCACCTACACTATCACCAATACCATCAACAACACCACTATCATCACCACCACTATCATCACCACCACTATCACCAACATCACTTTCACCAACATCATTTTCACCACCGTCACCACCACTACCACCACGACCACAGCTAGTGACCACCATCTAGGTAGTGTTAAAAACGTTAGTTTTGACACGGGTGGCTGAGGACCTTGATGCACCAGGAGATAAGATAAGATAAGATTTCGTTCGGATTTTTAACCCCGGAGGGTTAGCCACCCAGGATAACCCAAGAAAGTCAGTGCGTCATCGAGGACTGTCTAACTTATTTCCATTGGGGTCCTCAATCTTGTCCCCCAGGATGCGACCCACACCAGTCGACTAACACCCAGGTACCTATTTGCTGCTAGGTGAACAGGACAATAGGTGTAAGGAAACGTGTCGAAATGTTTCCACTCGCCGGGAATCGAACCCGGGCCCTCCGTGTGTGGAGCGGGAGCTTTAGCCACCAGGCCACCGGGCCACAAATACACTAGTCAGGGGTCCGGACCGCGTGAAGCATTGCAAAATTCAATAAATAAACCTTACCAGAAGGGAGGTTAAAATGCCCCACCAATGATACCTCTAAATGCCCGTTTAATCACGTTTTTAACTGTGTGTAAAGAGTCGTGGTACACACACACTGCATGAGTTTCCATTCAGTTTATAATTTTACAGATGTATAATTTTTTACAATAGTTCTGAGGACACACAGTTGTTGTGAGACACATGATGTTGATATATGATACAGTGTGTTGCGGATATAATGACAGATACAGTGTGTTGTGGATATGATAAATATAATACGTTGTGCAACAGTCGGGTATCTTTAGTGTTGAAACGTTTCGCCCACGTGGTAGGCTCCTTCAGTCATATACAGTCAAATATCATACCTCCTCTTAAATCTATGTATGGATCCTGCCTCCATTACCTCACTCTCCAGGCTGTTCCACTTCCTGACAACTCTATGACTGAAGAAATATTTCCTAATATCCCTGTGTGTACTCACCTAATTGTGGTTGCAGGGATCGATACTCAGCTCCTGGCCCCGCCTCTTCACTGAGTGCTACTAGGTCCTCTCCCTACTCCACGCGCTTTATCATACCTCGTCTTAAAGCTATGTATGGTTCCTTCCTCAACTACCTCACTTGCTAGGCTATTCCACTTCCTAACTATTCTGTGACATCTTTTTGACTCATCTGAGTCTTCAACTTCCAAATGTGACCCCTTGTTTCTGTGTCCCATCTCTGGAACATCCTGTCTCTGTCCACCTTGTCTATTCCACGCAGTATTTTGCATGTCGTTATCATGTCTCCCCTGACCCTCCTGTCCTCCAGTGTCGTCAGGTCGATTTCCCTTAACCTTTCTTCGTGTGTGTGTGTGTGTGTGTGTGTGTGTGTGTGTGTTGTGTGTGTGTGTGTGTGTTACAGTGCTATTACTACTACTAGTAGTAGTAGAGAAGGTTTATATGTTTGTTTAGTCTCCTGCTAGTTATAGCTTTGCCAAATTGGTTGTTAAACTAATAATGGCACTTTGGTTTCTCTTCCCACTTGTCGCCCCTCCTTGACGCTGGTGAGGGGCTCTTGATCTAGGGAACTGGATCTGTGCTCCAGTTCCCTGAATTGAGTCTGAACACCTTCCAACCCCCAACCCCACAGCGCTGTATAATCCTAGGGTTGCCTTCCCATTGCCTTATAGTGATTCCCACTTGTCTTTCCCTCTTTTCCACTCGTCACCCTTCTTCCCACTCATGTCTACCTCCTTGTCACTCATGTCTACCTCCTTGCCAGTCATGTCTACCTCCTTGCCACTCATATCTACCTCCTTGCCACTCATGTCACCCTCCTTGCCACTCATGTCTACCTCCTTGCCACTCATGTCACCCTCCTTGCCACTCATGTCTACCTCCTTGCCTGTCACTCCTTGCACTATCTACCTCCTTGCCACTCATGTCACTCCTGACTCATTCTCCTCCTTGCCACTCATGTCACCCTCCTTGCCACTCATGTCACCTCCTTGCCACTCATGTCTACCTCCTTGCCACTCATTCTACCTCCTTGCCACTCATGTCACCTCCTTGCCACTCATGTCTACTCCTTGCACTCTGTCACCCTTGCACTCATATCTACCTCCTTGCCACTCATGTCACCCTCCTTGCCACTCATGTCTACCTCCTTGCCACTCATGTCACCCTCCTTGCCACTCATGTCACCCTCCTTGCCACTCATGTCACCCTCCTTGCCACTCATATCTACCTCCTTGCCACTCATGTCACCCTCCTTGCCACTCATGTCTACCTCCTTGCCACTCATGTCACCCTCCTTGCCACTCATGTCACCCTCCTTGCCACTCATGTCTACCTCCTTGCCACTCATGTCACCCTCCTTGCCACTCATGTCTACCTCCTTGCCACTCGTGTCACCCTCCTTGCCACTCATGTCTACCTCCTTGCCACTCATGTCACCCTCCTTGCCACTCATATCTACCTCCTTGCCACTCATGTCACCCTCCTTGCCACTCATATCTACCTCCTTGCCACTCATGTCACCCTCCTTGCCACTCGTGTCATCCTCTCCATTATCTTCAGCTGCTCTTATAATGCCCATTAACTCTATTATTCAGTTGTTGTGACGTCCCTTCTACACACCATAAAATTTAATACAGTTACGGTTTAAAAATATCTCTCACATGTTAACTTAACTATTAAAACTTTGCCAATATTTTAAAAAT